GTAGTAGTAGTAGTAGTAGTAGTAGTAGTGGTAGTAGTAGCAGTAGTAGTAGTAGTAGTAGTAGTAGTAGTAGGCGTCGCCGTCGTCGACGTCGTAGTAGTCGTAGTCGTAGTCGCAGTAGTGGTAGTAGCAGTAGTCCTCGTCGTCGTCGTCGTAGTAATCGTAGTTGTCGTAGTAATTGTAATGGTCTTAGTAGTCGGAATAGTAGGAGTCGTAGTCGTGGTAGTAGTAGTAGCACTAGTAGTAATAGTAGTAATAGTAGTAGTAGTAGTAGTTGTAGTTGTAGTCGTAGTAGTAGTAGAAGTAATAGTAGTAGTAGTCGCAGTAGTTGTCGAAGTAGTAGTAGTAGTAGTAGTAGTAGTAGTAGTAGTAGTAGTAGTAGTAGTGATCGTAGTAGTAGTAGTAGTAGTAGTAGTAGTAGTAGTAGTAGTAGTACTAGTGGTAGTAATAGTACTAGTAGTAGTAGTAGTAGTAGTAGTAGTAGTAGTAGTAGTAGTAGTAGTAGTAGTAGTAGTAGTAGTAGGAAGTGTGGTTTAGTAGTAGTAGTAGTAGTAGTAGTATCGTCGTCGTCGCCGGCGTCGGGCGGTAATAGTAGTAAAACAAGTCGTAGTATCAGTAGTATTGTATAGTAAGTAGTATCTTGCTGTTGAATCGTAGTAGTAAGTAATAGGTAGTAGTATAGTAAGTAGTCGAGTATTAGTAAGTAGTACTAGTAAGTAATAGCAGGCTGGACCGAGGAGGGGTATCATAACAGTACTACAGTAAAATAATAGTAAGTGGTCTAGTAGTAGTAGTAGTAGTAATAAGTTAGTATTAGTAATGTAGTAGTAATCTAGATGTAGTCGTAGTAGGGTCAAGTAGTATGGTAGTAAAATACAATTCTAGTAAGTCGTCAGTAGTAGAGTGAGTAAGTAGTAGTAGTCGTCGTCGTCCGTCGGTCGGCGTCGTCGGCGTCGGTCGTCGTAATATAGTATAACAAATCGTGAGTAGTAGTAGTAGTAGTAGTAGTAGTAGTAGTAGTAGTCTTAGTAGTAGTAGTAGTAGCGTAGTAGTAGTAGTAGTAGTAGTAGTAGTAGTAGTAGTAGTAGTAGTAGTAGTAGTGGTAGTAGTAGTAGTAGTAGTAGTAGTAGTAGTAGTAGTAGCAGTAGTGGTAGTAGTCGTGGTAGTAGTGGTCGTAGTAGCAGTGTCGATGGTGGTCGTAGTAGTAGTAGTCGTCGTAGTAGCAGTAGCAGTAGCAGTAGTAGTAGTAGTAGTAGTAGTAGTAGTAGAAATAATAGTAGTAGTAGTAGTAGTAGTAGTAGTAGTAGTATGTCAGTGTAGTATACTAGGTTGGTGAGTAAAGTAGTCGTAGTAGTAGCAGTAGTAGTAGTATTAGTGGAGTAGTAGTAGTGGTAGCGGTAGCGTATCGTAGTCGTCGTAGTCGTGCAGTTGTATTAGTTCTCTAGTAGTAGTAGAGTAGTACGTAGTAGTAGTAGTAGTAGTCGTAGTAGTATATAGTAGTAGTAGTAGTAGTAGTAGTAGTAGTAGTACTAGTAGTAGTAGTATTAGTATAGTACTAGTACTACTAGTAGTAGTAGTAGTAGTAGTAGTAGTAGTAGTAGTAGTAGTAGTAGTAGTAGTAGTAGTAGTACTGAGAGTCGTTTTAGTAGTCGTCGAAGTAGTAGTAGTCGTGGTAGCAGTCATAGTAGTCGTAGCAGTAGTAGTAGTAGTAGAAGTAGCGGCCGTGCAAGTAGTAGTAGTAGAGCTCGTAGTAGTCGTAGTAGTGGTAGTAGTAGTAGCAGTAGTAGTAGTAGTAGTAGAAGTAGTAGTAGCAGTAGTAGAAGTAGTAGTAGTAGTAGTAGTGGTAGTAGTAGTAGTAGTAGTAGTAGTAGTAGTAGTTAGTAGTAGTCGTAGTAGTATAGTAGTAGTAGTAGTAGTATTAGTTAGTAGTAGTACGTCGTAAGTAGTAGTAGAGTAGTAGTAGTAGTAGTAAGTACTAGTAGTATAGTAGTAATAGTAGTGGTGGTGGTAGTAGTGTAGTAGTAGTCGCCGTCGTAGTCGTAGTCGTAGTCGTGGTCGTGGTCGGGGGTCGTACTAACAGTAGTCGTCGTCGTCGTCATCGTCGTCGGTGTCGGCGTAGTAGTAGTAGTCGTAGTAGTCGTAGTATAGTAGTAGTAGTAAGTAATTTAGTAGTATAAGTAGTAGTAGTAGTAGTAGTGGTAGTAGTGGTAGTAGTGGTAGTAGTAGTAGTAGTAGCAGTAGTAACAGTAGTAGTAGTAGTAGTAGTGTAGTAGTAGTAGTAGTAGTAGTAGTAGTAGTAGTAGTAGTAGTAGTAGTAGTAGTAGTGGTAGTGGTAGTGGTAGTGGTAGTGGTAGTGGTAGTGGTAGTGGTAGTAGTAGTG